CATTTGAAGCTAATGGGGGGTCCGTCACTCTTGCCGACACGTTATAGCGGAAGCCATCCCTGTGCTTAATAGTCCGTAAGAGGCCAAAAGCGACGGTATGATGTACGGAGCGTATTATGCGTGGCCCTGTGGGATCTGCCGCTTTTGAAATAGGTCATATAAAGAGACCTCCTCAAATAGTGTCTCAATGCCAGAGCTGTGTTTGTATTCTTTAGAGTTTAAGCAGTGAAGTCCCGACTTGTGTTTGATGTGCTCTGCCGCTCTAAAGGCTGCGCGCGCGTTGTGGAGGAGCGGCCCTGCGCTGGAAAGGGCTGAAAGGAGCCCTACAGTGAGCGAGACCTACAAAGGGGGAATGGCTTTATTAATTGTGAAATTTCCATCCGGCATCCGTACAATTTGCTGGATTGCCGACCCAACAGGCTTTTAAATGCGTAACCCAAGTGCATTAACGTGCCACATGCCAACCTTTCTTAAAACAAATGGGCTTTTTACATTTTTGATTGTTTCACTTTTGCACACTTTCCCAGTATGCAAGTGCTTTAATGTGTACATGTCTATAATGAGTACTGTGTTGCTTGATATTTTGTACATATTAGAGCGTGTGTGTGTGTGCCCTGCCATCGTCTCTTATATACCACGTGTCTGGTGCGTTTACTGGGTCTTACCGTACATAATGCACTTGTACTAATGTTTAGGTTGAACATACTTGCGTGTAAAAATGTATTGAATGTAAATAGCTTCAAAAAGCTATTTTTTTCTTTTTATCGTGTGCGAACAATATGTTTTTAAATGTGACACATTTTATTTATCCTGACAAAAAACATTGATAGTGTTTTACTAAAAAGATTGCACAATTTAATAATAGACCGTATTAATGCTTGCTTTACAACAACACCAGAATCCACGCTACCCTGCGGTCATCCGGCATATAAACCGCAATGTCCTTGCCATTGCAAGTTCTTCACGGCTAGGGGTATTTGCAATTTATATATCTTAACCGCTGTAAGTGCAAAGCACTTTTGTTTCATTTTTAAACATATTCATGCAAAAATTAAAATAGAAACGGGTTTGCATTGTCTTAAATGAGGATTCTAAAGCACATCGTCCCAATTAGTGAATTAATTGTCCTGTAGTTCTACCGCTGCTATCCAGTGTTTCATTTGAGACGTAAATGTGCAACAACACACATTTGCCCGGCACTGATTAGCCGTTCTTTATACCGCTGCTAGGCTTGATTGAGCCCTATCGGCTGGGCTCACTTTGTAAACTTTTACATTCGCGACCGCTTTGCCTTCATTTAAATTAACATTCCGCTGAAACAAAAGAGACCGCTGAACGTTATTGTTAACCGCGAGAACAATATACATTTTTCGGCGATACAAAGGGTAGAGCAACCAAGTTTGCGCGTGTAAAACAAACAACAACAACAACAAAAAAAGGCACCGTGACAGAATTTTTAAAAAGGCGAGCGCGTTAATTTATTTCTCGGCTCCTGCTGCGGAGAGGTCTCATCGGGCGACTTGGCTCGCTGCTCGTTGCGACGTCATTTGCATGTCAAAGCGCTCGGCCCATTGTTTGCGAGACAGTATTCAAATCACATTAATTGGAGGGCCTGGTTTATTCTGTCGAGAATAATTAAAGCCGTTGAGATAATTCCGCAGGTTTTTTTTTCTCTGTTGTATTATATACATCTTATATAGCATCATCATTAGAATTTTTAATTGCTGTGGATTTTTCCCTCACCTTCCACCCCCCCCCACCCCCCCCCACATATCCATAGACATTGCAAAGATAACTATTTAAGTTTGTCGCCAGTTAGTTGTACTGAATATTGATACGTTAATAGGATAACGCGTGTGTCCTTGTTAATTTAAATTACGTTTTTAACAATTAGCACGTATCTATTTTTAGGTTTATGGCCTACCTGAATGGTCCTTGAACTGACCTAGATTGCACACACGTACTATGAACAACTGTTGGTTTCAACAGAATGTAATCACGCGTCTAATTCCCTCACGGTAAAGTGAATATATTTACATTCGCATAAAAAAAGGCTTTTAAGTAAATAACAGAAACGACTTTCTTTTCCTTCGTGTTGTCCTGACAACGTAACGCGATGGGGGCAAATGGGTGATTGAATTGTTTGCGAGTCCTGAACGTTGGCAGCGTTTGGATCCGTCCACGGGCTCGTGGCTGTGGAAATTTGAAGACAATATCTGCTGTCAGGACTCTTAAGACGCACTGACTTATTAAAAGGTTACATCGAGTTTTGTGAAACGCTGAAGTTTGAAAAAGCTGACATTTCGGCCAACGGACCTTTTATATTTACCGTGCCAGGTGTTATCTTTGAAATCGCGTGCCTTTGTCCCCCCCACCCGCACCTATTTCCCAGAGCTCGGGTATATATCCAATATAAAATGCTAACACTCGCAGTACGTGACAGCGGCTCATTACGAATCAAAAGGGGCCGTCGGTGTGAATGGAGAGTTCAACCTGCTCTTCCGGTTGCGGCCCTCGGATGTCCACGTGTGGCTACCCTTTCCCGCGAGTGGCCCGTTTGATCTACAAAGGGGGGAGGCGTCCACTTTCAGCAGCCGTGCCTCGCGCATTCAAGACAATTTGTAGCACGAGCGGGTTCCGTTACGCTGACGTACGTCGCCGGCTTTGAGAATGAAACGGAATCGATTGTGTAACGGGGGGGGGGGGGTGGGGAGCATAAGTGGGCATTGTTTACGCGTGCCTTATGCAAAGTGGCGGAATTGATGGAGCTGATCAAAAGACGCACGCGTGTGTCCCACTGTTTCCCGCTGCTGTCTGACGACTTGGAAGCGAATGGCTTAACGAAAGAGTGTGGATCCCCGCTACACGAGCGTGTTTCGGGTGAGCTTTTTAGCTTTTCACAGAGCTTCTGTGTTTAAGAACCAAATGTAGAGTACAGCGCCAGCGCACTGATGCGTGAAAGTATAACGTACGGCTTTGATTTTAGTTTTTCTTACGTATTCACATGCATATGTGAAAGAACACGTGTACATGTTAAATATTTACATTTATTCGGGGCAGTGAAAACATTTGAGATTCAGATGGCGATGAAAATATTGCACCAACAAAATGGTATGCTAATGTTGATTAAAGCTACATAGTGAAGACTTGAAATGAGAAGATTGATTTTTTTTTACTTTTATAGCCTTATTCTCAGATTGTTTTGACAACGGCTTATGTATACATAGTTATCACTTGGACAATGCTTTGTCCTTACCCATGAAGCTCGGTCTCATCGCCGGCGTTGATTGCGCTTTTAATAAAGTCGGCAATCAGCGCGGTATTTTTGGGGAAGCGCACTGCTTCATTAATGAGCGATATCTGAACTCCTTCATGCCTCGCACCTTCAACCCACACTGACCAGCGTGGCAAAGTATGGTCAAACAACCCCCATGACCGACATGGCTTGGGGGGGGGTGGGGGCCTTCATCCAGCAGCGGATGGATAAAGGGCCGTAAATTATTATTTATTATACCTTAAAATGTAACACCAAATCATCGTGGCCTATTTTTGCTGCATTGATTAAAAAGCCCTTGTCATCATTAGCACATTGCTGGAACGGTGAAAGCACGCTTGCTCTGTGCCGCCAGATGCTGTGACATATGTAAGTGTCTCCGAGATGCCAGCCTCTCAGTTGCTGAGTTGGATGGACACTTCGGTCACATCCTAATGAGATGCTTGTCTGATCAGAGCATGCAAAGTTTCCAGCGCACACAGCTTGCATGTTTACGCGTGACATTAAATACCATATTAACTATTCCCGAGGGTTTCCCGCAAACATGCGGCGACGAGTGCACGTTTTGCATTGGCGACGCCAGGACATTGGCGAATGAAGAAGATGTAAATGTCCGTAGGCTTTTTTTGGTATTTTCCGCGCCGAAGGAAGGCATTGTGTCGGCGCGCGTGCATGTGTGCCAAGTAAAAAAAAAACGGGAGCGTGATTTAAATGCAAAGCCTGGCCGCAGGGCTCGTCATTGTGTTCAAATTGTGTCCAAATTGTGTCAAATACACTGGAGGCCCGCGTAATGTATGATTTGGCATGCCGGCGTCTGTTCCGTATCGAGCCTGCCGCGTTGATAGCAATATCAGGCGAAGCGCACAAACGCACGCCCGCCGTGGCTGCAAGACGACAAGGAGAGAGAAATCCACCCGATAGGTTTCGTAAGGACCTTTTAAGCCAGTTCGTTCACTCAACTGTAAATCCTTCCTCTGTCATTTTAATTCCCTTGTTATTTTTTTGGTTCGTCTGAATTGGTTGCAGTGGTTCACGTTTCTATTTTCTTCCGTTGTTGGTCTTTGTTGCTTCGTGTATAAATATACACGTGCACTTACGTGTGCAGCATTACATTGCTTCGGGGCTCTTCACTAAACAACGTGAGTTAGCTCTGCATATAAGTTCACAAAATATACGTCTGTGTTGCGAGCTTCTTGCTACAGAGGTGACAGAATATTGACAAACGTGCTTTCGTTGGAGCTGGAATGACAGTCCAAAGGTCATAGGACAATTAGATTTGTTGGTTGACCTTTTACGACTTCAATGAGTAAAAATGTTTGTATGAGAAATGCATAGGGTTGTTAAACTTCTTGTATTAAAACAACACATCTTCATAAACAACTTGGTTCCCATTACAGCAATATTCTACCATTGTGGCACGGACTCGTTATCAATATAATCAATATCGTACTAATCATCGACAGCAATGGTCAGAAAACGGTGGAGTGGTGGTGCAATGGTTAGCGCACTGCGCTATGAACGCGGTGATCAGAATTAGATTCCCAGCCACGTCAGCAGCGAGTGCTATCCGAACCGGTCCTGGTCATCCCCTTCACCATTCTACGCCGACTAGTGCGGTGAAGTATGGCCAAACAACCCCAGGCATCCTTGTTCATGTTTACGTGAATAAGGGTGACGACCATTAATGAATGCAACCTCAAGAGCCGTGTGTTGCTGTGCGCGCCAGGTTCCTTAGAAGATGCAGTGGACACCCGAGCATCCGCACCAGCACCTGAGCCCCTGGCAGGCGGCGGCCGTGCCCCCTCCGGTGCAGATGCCCGTGGCGGTGCCGCCGCACCCGCCGCCCATACAGCGGTTGGACCTGTCGGGCGTGCCGCTCCCTGGCCACAAGAGCGCCGCGGCGGCCGCGGCGGCCGCGGCGGCCGCGGCGGCCGAAGCGTACCAGGTGCACCTGCAGCGCGGTCACTCGACGTACTCGTGGGCCAACGACGACATCTCGGAACTCACCGCCTCCAACCTGCTGAAGCGCTACGCCGAGAAGTACTCCGTGGGCGGCATGGACGGCTACCCGGACGGCGTCGCCAACAACGGGCAGAAGCCCGAAGCCGGCGAGCAGCCCTGGTCGGGCATCTACGCCATCAACCCGGCCGTGCCGGACCTCATCCGGAGCACGTCCAGCACGCCGCTGCCCTCCGGCGGGGACGCTCCGCCGGGCTCGCTGGCGGAGCAGCCGGGCTACGCCTCGCAGTCGGGCGGCGTGTCGCGGCTGAGCCCGGCGCCTCCGCCCTCCGCCGGCAGCACCGTGCCGGTGAGCGGCGCCGCCGTGGCGGCCGCGGCCGCGGCGGCGGCGGCGGCGGCGCGTGACTACGCGCCGGCCTACGGCTCGAACAGTGGCGGCGGCAGCAGCAACGGCGGCTACCTCTCTGCGCCGGCAGGCTACCCGCAGTGCGGGCCCGTGCCGGCGTACGCCGCGATGCCCAGCCCCGTGTACGGCTACTCGCCGGCGCCGTATCTGGCGCAGCAGGCGGCGGCAGGGGTCGCCTACCCGCACCCGCACCACCACCACCATCACCACCACCACCAGTCCGGCTCGGGGGCCTTCGTCCCGCCGCCGCCACCGCCGCCGCCGCCTCCTGGGATTTTTTCGCACGCGGCCGGGCCCGGCTACGCGGGGTACCCTGGCCACACGGCTAGCTTCGCATCGGAGCCCGGCACGAGGAAAGCCTTCTACCCGGGCCGCGACGGGGACCTGGATTACGGAGGCTACCGGTCTCAGCAGCCGCAGCAACAGCAGAGGGACACGCCCAGCCCGCTGTACCACTCGTCCGACGGCCCCACGTCCATGCAGGTGGGTGCGCGGTGCCGGCGCACGCAGCATCTTCTCTGCCGCTGGCCCGAATGCAACAGCGTCTTGGGCTGTTCCGTGCATGCGATTTTAAAGCGCATTATTCACAATTCTTATTTACTTTTTAATCAAGGCAATGTTTTTCTGTAATACTCGACTTATAACCAGATAAGACTTTTGGGGTGGAACAGGGATGAAGTGGTCGGCACATTACACAAGGATCTCGGTGACCTGGGTTTGATTCCCGGCTATAGCTAACATGAGTGGCGAGAGATATATGAAGCGGTCCAGGGCCCCATCCTCATTCATGAAACCCCACTGACCAGTATGGTGAAGTATCGTAAAACAACCCCCATGATCAACTTCACATGGGGAGGCCTTCATCTAGCAGTGGATTGCCTTCGGGCTGTACATTATAATTCGATCATTAATTATGAAGGGCCCATTGAGATGAAGGATCTCTTTTTTTGGGAAGAGTATGACCTGGGAATTTGATTCAGAATCAACATTCTCGTGTCCCACAACGGTTTTCTGCAGCTTATTGTGACCTCTGGCAAATGTGTATGTTCACGAATGTTTCTTTAAACATGAGCCTCATGCCACAATCAGTTTTATTTTAATTTTAATTTGTTCAGATCCAACAAGGATATCCTTGCCACCCGTCACAGTTGTCATTGAAATGAGACGAACTTTACCATTGCGTCATCGTCATTGGTAACATTGGTGGTGGCTCTAATGGAGATGATGACGTAACCATTGGTTGCCCCAAGCCCTGTGCATTAATACCATACTTCTTTTCTCTCCGTAATTCCGCCCCATTTCTGTTTGTGTATTTAAATTAATATTTTATTTCATTGAAATCGTATTGTTTCGAGTGTGCGTCTTTGACTTTGCGCTAAATATAACGAGAGGGCCATATTGCATTGTTGAGGCCCATGATTTTTTAACAGAGAATGGTACTTAACCCATTCACCTGTCGCTCCCCGAGATGACATTCAGCAGTGTAATGGGAGATTTTCACTTGTCCTTTCCAGAGCATGTCTGTTGTGTGGATGTTGAACACCATGAACTGTGTGGGTTTTAGACACTTGTAGTGACTAAAATCTTTACCCCTAAAACGTAACAGACATCCTGTTTAGAATATCAGAATCTTTGTTTAGATTGGAGGAATCCGATGAGCTATAAAGCTCTTTTTCACAGCTGTACAGTAGGTTCAAAGATGTCTCGTAGATCAAGAGATGTCCAGTGGGGAACCCAAATGTTATAATAGAGTTGCATTCAAACAACCAAAACACAATTATGTGTTTGAATCTACTCCTGAAAATTTACATGTATTTTTTTTGTTACAGCGCTATGAGTTTGGCATTCTCACTTTGAATCCCAGCCATGGCTAAGATCAGTATTATCTGAACTTTTTCTGACTGCTCACTTTACTATCCCTATCTGACCAGCATGGTGAAGTATCGTTAAACATCTTCTATAACTTACACAGCATGGGTAGGCCTTTTATCAATGATTGAATTGGCCAAGGGCTGAAGATTTATCATTTTATATTCCTTAAATACAATACATATTCTATTCAAAATGAACACTCTTTACTCTAGCAGCTGCACATATATGTGTTTGTGTGTATATATGTATAGTATACGTATATTTCACTAATTAAAAAGGCATGATACTTAAATAGGTGATTGAATAATTGCCAAGCGTAAAGAGCTCATGGCAGGTTCAGCCTGGCTTGGAGTTGCCCACTTTGTTCTGCGTTGAAACCTGAAACTCACGACTGCCCAAACCCACCCAGTGCGCCGAGCCTCGACTATAAAGTACATTCAGTAAATTAGTGACACCTTGTTTTGCTATTTTAAACTAAATTATATTAAGTTGTGGGATTATTGCCACCCATTGTTACAGGGGGGATTGTGGTATCACCGAGATGGCTTTTGATGTAAAGTTTCACTTGTGTTTCTTGTTTAACCCTACCTCGCCCCTTCCCCCAATCCGGCTAATTGATGCCACTCAGTGAGTGATGCCTTGACAGTGGAAAGCATTCTTGAAAGCTGCCAATCCCAGCGTTTGTTCCTGACTCTTGCCCAATTGTAGCACAGCAGACGACATCAAAGGAATTGTCCTGCTGCCCAGTCAGCACGTTCATTCTGGTGATCCCTCACATGGGCAGTCCGGACCGCTTGGTAAGACCCCCATCAGAGTTTGAATTGCTCATATCAATCAAATAACTTCCTCTATTTAATCACAGGTTAGCATTCATTATTATACAAACCTTTTATATATGTGTATGGTGGCCTCGGCAGCTCGCACAAAATAAATAAGAGTTAATATTTATTGTCTGTAGTTTGGTTGAAAGTAATTTTACAAATTGGGTCATGACATTGGCACCGTATGACTTCAGCTTGTGAATCGGCTTCTTCGTTAAGCTCCACTTAACAAAAAAAAACACGCCGCATTTTGCCGCAATAATACGTGGCAGCATTTCTTGTGCAGCGACTACGGCGGTAATAAATCCTTCCATGCCTGCGAGAAGTAACTCGCAGTTTTCTAGTCAAGTTCCACGTTACAAAACCTCGCCGACATTTTTTCCATCGCAAAATGTGGTGGCATTATCACGGTGGCAGCTATGACAGTCGTAAAGCTGCCTATTGTGGACCAGCTGGCTTGGTGGAGGCTCACCTACTTGATGAATGCCTTGGTGTACCAGCCCAGCCACGCATTGCTTGCAGCGGAACCAAGGCGTTGGATCGGTTTCATTGTTTGCGCAGTGACATAAAACACAAGTTTTTCCCCGCCTGGCGTGTTTGTGGGCATTCATTCAGATGCGTGGCACGGACTACGGTGAGGCTGGATCAGGAGTGCCGAGCCTGGGCTTCCAGCCGGTGAAGCCGCACGACAGCTTAGAGCAGCACCAGAAGTACGGCGGCAGCTCTGTCACCGGAGGTAGCGGCACCAACGGCGGGCGTGGCCCCACCGCGCCCACGCCAACGTATCGTTCCGCAGAGCAGACTGTCGGGGTGGTGGGGCCTGGCATCTCCTTGGAAAATTGACAGTCTTGAAGAAAAATGTTTCATCCCCGGTGCGATCTCGCCCAGTGCGGTGGCAACAGGAATTTAAAGAAAAATTTGTCCCGGGTGGGTGGGGGAAGTTATTGTTGTGCTGTTGCTCGAATGACCGTCCGTCTCAAAAAATATTTTAAAGAGAACAAACGTGGACGTGGGAAGAATTGGATCGACTAGCGCTGGGTGCATGTTTCATCTGAGAGTTTAGAAAAGGATGCATCGCAATCGCATTTCCAGTTCCTGCGAAAAGTTCTTCTGAGCGTGCAACCGGGCGCTCGATTGAAATGCTACATCACGGGCATTTTTGTTTCATTATCAGAGTTTACCCGTAAATTGTCTCACATTCTTTGACGCAAGGCGTGTGACATTCATGCGACTTGGCGAGTGTATGAAGCGGGATTTTGCATTTACACCATTCATCTGTGGATGTCTCGCACACTGCCAATTTAGCATTCGCACGGTGGCGGTAAGTTTGCAAGTGACTGCCCCCACGCAAGATGAAAAGACTCCAAGAAATACGAGCGATTCTCTTTGTGGTCTCTACTGCAGCCAATTCCCGTCAAAGCTTGAGCTTGTGACTACCTCACAATGATTGCTGTACATTAGATGCATCCTATAGTGCATTGTCACGAAAGATCTTTATGCTATATTTATTGGCAGCAGATGGAATACATTGTGGTCATTCTTTTCGATAGAAAAAGTGTTCACCCAAAAGAGAGCAAATGTTAACTATACTTTGCCAAAGTCTTAACAAGGAACGAATTGCGATATTTCTCCAGTGATGGGCCCAGCAAATGTAGCCTATGGAAGCTCCGCTCGGCCCGATTCAGGGTTTAACAGGAAACACTTTATGTTTTACCACTTACCTCCACTCGCTACCTGCCAGATTTATTACTGTCGAGCAAAAAACGTCGCTACGTTTAATTCTGAAGTACAGCCTTAGAAGAATAATGCACATTGTCTTACCGTTAAGAAGCTGCTTTGTGTTTTTTGTGTGCTATGTTTTGCATCGAGTGCCGACGACTCTCATTCATATCTTTTGAAGGATCATGGTCATTTTTTATAATTTTATTTTTCAGTCGTGCAGAAATTTACAAATGCTGCACCCCCTATTATAATAATAATAAACAATAAGAAACATACCCCACGATGAAATAAAAGCAACAACTGTGTCTACCTAAATGCTCGTCGGACTGAAACCAAGAACCCGAAGTCTCAACAACAGCAAAAGCGAAAGAGGAAAAAGACAAAAAATCCATCTTAGAAAAATGTAAAATTAATGGAAATTGTGCACCGTTTTACTGTAACTCGGGACGTGCCCAAATGAAGCACTGCCGTTGCTGCCCGTGCCCTTGAATGTGGTTCGTTTTTTTTTGTGGCGACGTGATGCCGATTGCTGCGTGCAAACCGGGACAGAGAGCAGCCATTTGCTTGTGTATGTGAGGTGTCCCTGTTCTGTGAGGGGTGGGTGGTCGATGGCAGGGGCTTGGGCACGAGTGTGGTTGGCTGGGGTCGTGGGGGCGGAATGGGGTTGCCTCGGTAAAGTGTGGCAGATATAAGGCGAGAAAACGAGAAGAAAATGGGGGGGGGGGGGGGGGGGTGAAATTGCAAAACGAAAGAAGTTGCAACTTTTAAAATATTAAAAGACAAAAAAAGTGTTTCGGCAAAGCTCAAAATTTTGGAGAGAAAAAAAAACACTTTGAAATTTAACCAAAAAGAATTTGCGAATATAGCTTTCTTGGCCGTAGAGGCGATGTGCGTGTGATGCACGCCACTTGACGTGCGGTGGCGTTCAGTGTTGTAGTGTTTTGGTTTTGCTGTGTTATTTTTTGGCTCAAAGTGGCAAGTTGCGAGCTCAGACTGACCTATCCGTATACCACATGCCAAAAATATCGTGTGACCTATACACAAATTTACAGTGAGGATTACAACCAGTGGAGATTGAATTTCAAAGGCAAGATCAGGATTCGGGTTTAAATGTTTAATTGCACAACACCGCACATTTCGGCATGAAGTGAATGGGAAGCATGCACAAGTTGTCTTTTTGATTGTGTTTGAAACACGATTGCAGCAATGTTGTACCATCTGTAAGCTGTGCTTTCTGTCTTTGGTATGACCTAACAGTATTTAAAAATACCTTTTTTTCAAATCGGGTACTTGATTGTAAATTTTAGTACGAACCTTGCTCCTTTTGGGCGTATAATTGTGGACCCCACAAAAAAGGAAAATAACAGAATCGGAGAAAATTACGACCGAACAAAAAAAAACGTGGGCGACTGTATGAAAATTAGCAGAGCGAAGTGGTATGCAGGATGCATGCATATTTATCAGTGCTAAAATTGTGCTTCTGGGAAATCATTTCCAAGAACCATTCCCTAAAACCATGATGAATTTTACATTTGTCCATCGGGCTGCGGTGTCGGCGACGAAAGGCAATGGGGCGCAATGCTCAGCCGAGAGGTAGCCTATGCTGATGAGAGGAGCACACACCAACAACTGGACCACTGCAGTCCGCGGGAGGCATTTCTCAGAGCGGCTGCGAGTGAATGCATCGGGCCGGCCGCCACTCAAACTGCGGCCTCCGCCGCCGCCGCCGCCACAAAAGAATTCCACCTGAACATATTTCTGTGCACTGGCAATTACGCAGACACCAGGCAGGCAGCTCGGCTCTTTTGTAATGGACCAACATATTTCTGAAACGCACTTGAACCCACTTAATATACTTATTTGGCTTTTTCTCACGAACAAAGCAAAGTATGGTGTCTTGGCTTGCGATGGCTTGTGTTGGGGTGCTCGGAATGCCAACTTTTGTTTTTATGCTACACATACGGTTTGATATATTCCAGCATTCATTTACTTTAAATTCCACCTTTGGCTTTTTTCATTTAGATATAAGTTTTCATTAATCCTTTATGCATGGCCGAGCGATAGTGTTTGCATAAAGTTAACATATTAAACAGAAAAATTGAGCGTTATGTATTCATTGGTCATCCCATAAACCAAGCCTGAATCCACTCATTTTTTTTAAATATTTGCGAGCCAAGGCTGAATTTATGAATAACGTTCGAACATAAAATGTGCAGTTTCAAAATTATTCTCACCATTGTGTCTGCTGGAATTATTTTTTTTTCATTCTTGCAAATGCAGTATGGATATTTAGTCGTGAATATTTAATAATGCACAGCTCTAAATATGTTGTCCCCGTGGCGGTTTTATTAACAATTTATTGACTATGAACAGCAGGAATGCATAATGTATTTGCTTCTCAATTAGCAGTGGTTTAGGCAGTGTAGGCGTGCACCCGAATGTTCGCTTCTCGTTGGCAATTCCCAACAAAACAATGTTGGCAAAGATAATCTATCTCTAATTAAATTGTTTCCACTTTGTGGACGAATGGTACTCGCCGATATTATTTTTACATTTTTCAAGCCATTTAAAATAATGTAGTGTCCACAACATGCCCCAGCAAACTCTGGGTGCATCTCTTGGCATCCCGTATTCCACAGAGTGTACAAGAGCGACGCTTAACAGACGACTGCCACTGTTGAACGTGTTGGCGATTTCGGTCTCTCTACTACACATTTGCATTATCGTTATTTTGCCTCTGCAAATATGGTTAATTTCCTTACACGTGGAGTCCACTTGTAGCGGGCTTGGCAGTCGCAGCGTGTGGTTGGGTAGACGATGCCTTGTGTGTGTGTGGCTGCCGAATTTGGCGCGTGCCCTTGCTGCAGATGGTATTCCGTTGCTGCTTTTACCATCCATCCACCCGCTGCTGGTTAGCAACAAACTGCTTTTTTTATTTGCGCTGGGAGGGGGTTAGCGGTAATTGGTAATTTGGTCTTTTGCCGCATGTTGAGAGTGCAACCGTGTGAAATATTAACGATATTAAGTGTTAAAACTATTGCTCATGCGCCGGTCACGAAAAAAAGAACATCAACAACAAACAAACAAATTGTTCTCAAAAATCACTCAGGAAAGCAATTTTTAAACACTTAATGTACCTCAAGTAGAATGTTTCATTTAGTAATTTGTTTTTCTCTCATAATTGCTTCGGGCACTGTGTAGTCCTGTAGGTGTTTCGCGGTTTTTGTGTTTCTCCCTCGAGGCTCTGCTCTGCACATCCACGGACGGAAAAGAACACAAAAATGAAACGGCGTTCAGTGTAAGAGAGAAAACAAAAAAACGACAAACAAAAATTGCAAAAAGTGAGAGCGAGCGCAAGGGGGACACTGAATGTATTTGCTGGTGGAGGAAGCGGCCGTGCGTTGGCGGCGGCGCGGGCGGGCTGGCGGGGCTCGGTGAGTGCAGTGCTGCGTGCACGGTGCGGCAGTGGTGCTGGTGCAGTGGTGCGGTCACATTCCATCGCGCTAATCCGTCTGCAGCACGCCAGCTCAAGCAGAAAGTTGCGCGCCAACAACAACGGACCTTCCGCATCACAAATTTTCACGACCGTTGAGGTTTTTGTCTTTTAACTAATTTATTATTTTTTAAAGGGGTTTCCCCCCCCCCTCTCGTTTGGCCGCAGAACAAAAGCAAAGAACAAAAAAAAAACTTCCCACCAATGCGTTCTCAATAAATAATAAGCAGTGCTTTCCCCATTACCTACCAGCATTTTTTAAGGAAAACTTCCAATATCGCTGTCAAACTTGAGTTGATGCATGTGAATACTATCTAATGCCAACCTTTCACGCGTCGCTTAATGCGCAAGGTACAAATGCATATCCCGTGGATTGTGAGCTGTTTACGCTGAAAATTCATTCTTGGGCTCTTCTGAAAAACAAGGCAGCAATATGGCCAGCAGACCAGGCAAGCACAGGGTCACACCACCATGATGCCCACATTACGATAATTGTTTGTGTTTTAGGAAAATCGAATTGAAGCTTCTTTTTTTTGGGGGCCACAGAACGGTCTTCACCTTTGGCTTTAGACCTCTGACCCTGCCCCCTCTTCCCCCATTTTACCCTTTCCATCCCTCACCGAGCTGGCTTGCGGGCAAGTTGAGAATATGGAACACTTAAGTAGACGTCTAGATTCCAAAAAATGAAGTCCAGTTTGTTTTTTTTGGGAAGGGGGGAGGGGTTTCTTTCCTCGCTCTTTGATTGGTAAACTAAACTCATTCTGGGAGGAATTTTGATATCCATGAGCTATACATGTTCATCTTTCAACTTAAACATACCGACAGACGTTTAAAGCCAATTGGATCACATTTTAATTGATTCACAATAATGTCGATGCTCCACAACATTGCTTTCATGATATTCTTACGAAACATGTTCCCTTTCTTTTTTATGTTTCTTTGTTTTGCATATGTCTCTGCAGAGAGGCCGTCCTGGGTTTCGCCTGCTGCAGTCAGAACAAATTGGATACAGTTTATAGCACTTACGTGAATGTAAACTGACCAAACGTAGCCCTTGGCAGGCTTACGTGAAACACGCCTAGTCGCTTGGCTTCGGCGTGCCTTTCCCTCGGAGGAGTATGACGACCGCTACGACGAAGCCAGACCCTTCACCGAGGCCCCATCCGCGTGGCGCGCGGTGCGCCGCTGATCCCAACCCAGACGCCGCCAGCCGCGGTGCGTGTGACCGCCCCGTCGGCCTTCACCCGAGTTCACTCCGCAGAGGTGACGCTTCCAACGCGCGAGTCTCGGCGGCGCTGCTGCTGCTGCTGCTGCCTCCACGGGAAACCGATTTCAGGATTGCGGGGATGGCGGGGCCGGGGTGGGCGGCATTAGCGGGACACTCGCAAGGGGTCGAGCCCGGCCGTCCCTTGCAACGGAGCGAATTTGCCGTAACAGAAAGCTGGGAAATTGTGGAGACGTGTTGGCTGTCTGAGGATGTGACCTTTGTGCAGCTGACCACCAACACTCGGCTTGCAAAACTTTGTAACCATAGCTCGAGTTCGCAACTCCCAAAACGCTTTACAAGCGGATTCCGTAAAATTGCACGTGGGCATCGAATGTACTCCATGTACGTGAGTGTGCCCCTATATGCATTGCACAGGGTTCTACATGTGGACATTAAAAAAAACGGTTCTGTGAAATAGTTATCTGCTGAAACATCGTCTTGTGTTTTGTTAGCATAATTTGAATTCCCACATGCATCCTTTGTTTTGTCTTCAAACCTAGAGGGGGATAAAAGACTAATAAGGCAACAAAAGTAGCGATGCACACATTAATTATAAAGTACAAAAAAGTGTTGCCCACATTCATCAGGCCCCGAGCACCCGCACCCAGTTCGAGATGAGATCGCCAGCAGCACACTCGTGCAGTAACCCACAGCCAGGGCCCTCTGTGCCGCACGGCTCCCTCCCTCTGCCCGTGCTTTCTCGCCTTGCTCCACAAGCCCCGTCTCGTTCACTCTCCCCAATCGCCCCCATCCACCCCCTACACCCCCCCCCCTCACCACCACCCGCTCATTGTATGACCTCCTTAAAAGCGCTGAATGCACAGACAGTTGATTGACGGCTGGTAAGGAGTACCGGGTGGTGAAAGCGAGGACGTGAGGTCTGCAGAGCGAAACGCGCAGTTCCCGCACAGACCTCAACTTTTTTCTTCGTTTTCCTTCAACTGCTTTAGTTGCTATTTTAATGCAATTGAATTCTATTTTCTCCCCCCCCCCCCAATTCGTCTTGTTATATATACGCACATCTACAGATCTGCGCCCGATGGGGGAGCACTTATCTTGTACATTTCTTAAGAGCAAGAGCCTAAATCCGAATTGCTAGTTCGAATGGGTTATTAAAAGGTTCGTCTTCAGAAGACCTTCTAAGCCGAGTCAGGAGCTTTGGAAAGCTGCTGTCAGGCGAAAATGTTTGTTTCTAAATCAGCTTGTGGTCACTATCGCTGAACAACATCACGGCATGAACATTAGAAATGAAAGCTCAAATATTGTTCAAAAAGAACTCCGTGGATTCCTCGTAGAATCGTTTTTTTCGTCTCCTAAACACCCAATGGGTGCCTTTGATTGATGGTCACGGGGGAGAAAGCTTTAGAGCTCGGATAATTAGTGATGGAAACATTGCTGGCTGCAGCAATGTCTGGCTAATGCACCTTACCCTATCTTCTGGAGCTCACTTGGCACTGCATAAGAAAATATTGAGTTGCGTATTAATATATTTCGGCACTCCTTTTAAATTTCAGAAGTTGAATTAGATACCGTTGTCACCGTGTGTGTCGGTGCACTTGAGCAAGTCAAGTTTTTGTTGTATCGTGGCAACTGAAATAGATGGATGGCATTCATATTACGTTCAATCTCCCCAATCATCCCCATCCATAGCTAATTCTTTTTCCATTAGAGTCCCGTCCCTTAGAACGTTTCTTGGTCGTAATCAAAATAACATTTGGTGCGCGGAGTCACTACTGCGTGTGCAGGAGGACCCAAGTATCTGATTGGATTTGTCAGCTTATTAATTGCATGCCCCTTATCAAAATGCTGTTAGAAAACAAAGCCATGTTTAATTGGACAACTCGCTGATGGGCGAGCTTTTAAATTGTACTGTGCCCGAATTTCGTATCGCCGGACGCACTCGGCACTTAAAACCATCATCTCTCGCCTTCCACAAGCGCTGCGTTACTTTTGCCGTACGTTTTTCTTCTCAGCACGAGGGAGGTTGTTTTTCTTTCCCACCCCCCCTTCCCGTAAATCGTACTCGTGGTAAATGAATCAAATATCGCTTCGTCTTCAGGAACGAGCGCGCGTGTTTGTTTGAGGATCTAAATGAAAAGAGGGAATTTTGAGGTTTTTTTGTGCCCTCTTTTTTTTTCCTTCCATCCCGTCCGACTGAGCGGTGTTTTTTTGTTTAGTTGCGAGCGGTGCGTTGACAAATGCAACGGTTGGGGGGGGGTGGTGGTGTGTGAGAGAAGCGAGGTGTCGTCCCGACTTAACCAGGCCCTGCCTCACTGCCGTACTGCGTTATGCGTCATGTTTTGTGGTTGCTGGTGTTGTATTTATTTTACAGCTTTCCTTTTGTCGTTTGTTGTATGTATAGCCGTTACAAAAACAAACAAAAAAAACAACGTGAAAATCATCACACACAAAAAAAAAGAAAACCTGTACATTTGAAGAACAAAAAAAAAGAGAAAATGAAAGTCTACCTCAAAAAGACTGATACAGTAATACTGTCTCAGCAGTGTTAATAAAGTTTTCAAAATGTGCATTCTTTAGTATGTGTAGTGCGCGTAGGTCATAGCTAAGACGTAGGGCGCTAGAGTATTATTCCTCAATATGATAAGCGTGTCCTTTTTTGTGGGTCAACCAAATTTTGTTGGTAAAAGCTTTAAAATGTCACCTCACTAGCAAATCACTTTTTGGCTGTGTCTGTGTTGGAAACAGGACTGCAGCGCGAGCAATGTTCATTTTATTTTGTTATTTCGGAAAGTTTTTTTTGTTGCTTTTGAACGTTTCGTAAATAAATCAGCGTTGAGCTTGTTTTTTTGTACAAATCGCAGATAATTAACGTTGAGTGTGCTCGAGATGACAAGCGGCGTGTCGTGTCACACGGGTGGGGGGACGTGTTAGCTTGAACTGCTGTACAGAGTATCCAAATCTTGCGACTCTCATATTTTGACGTCTGTTAAAGATCGTAGTCGTGAGATCAATGGGGGGGGGGAGGGGGGGGGGGTTTCCGTGTTCTCTTGTCGTGGGTGGGTGGGGGGGGGGGATGGGGAGTCCTACCTCGATTCAAAACAAAACGCCCGATCAGTGTTTTAACAGAGAATAGACCACAAAGCAAGACAGACGTGAATTGAACAAGGTCATCTCCAGTCGTGTTGAGATTGTTTGTTTCCAGAATGTAGTTAATTCGCTTCCACATCTCATTGGGTATTCATGTGATGGCACTTATTACATGTAAAGTAAAACAAGTAAGTACAATTAATAACTGAATTGCAAAATTGAACCACTAATCCAAACTAAAATCGGAAAACACTTCCAACACAGTTACTAGCCAAAAATGGAACACTTGTCTGCTGATATGTTTAATTTGACTCATAATTGCGCATTGCTTCATGGTGATGGGTTTCGGTGGAGTCTGCCGCCTTGGCAAGTCTCTCTCTATATGATGCCACGGAATAGCTGTGAAGTCGAATGTGGTCATAGGCTCTGTTTTTAAACGATGTCTGCTTTATAGGCCGTGGATCTCCTATTCTGTTCTACTGTCGTTTCTGTGCTATGGCGTGACATTTAAACTGTTGGGTAACTTTAAGTCGCGCGAGTTGCCAACTCTTTGCTTGGCTCTACATCAGAGACTAAATTATTTAGTATTTTCAAAATCTGTAAACCCCCCCTCTTTATTTTCTCCTTTTACGATCGGTGACATTTTACAGTTAAGATTACTTTTTTTTCTTTGTTTCGAATCCTCCCACCTCCGCCCCCCCCCACCCTCTCCCTCCCCTTTCTTCCCCGTAGATTAAAACTAGTTTCCTTAGAAACCCGTGTATCAAATGACACACCAAGATTTGTGGCTTGAGAGATTTTTATGAGATACAAAATAACTTTATTGTATTTTTTGTTGTATATTTCCATGTTTTTTGAACATGGAAAAGGAGGCAAAAAACATACCTCAAATAAAAACGGTCAGAATTTGTCCGTACGCTAATCTCGTCTCTCCTTTGCTGTGTAAACGTCTGCCACCCCACCGCCTGCCGCTTGCATCCCCAAGACAATGAGAGTTCTATTGCTACGCTCGCACAAGCCGCCCAAAGGCATTCACCATTCATCACAAACTATATTTTATGTTTAAAAAACATTGTTACTCTGGTAACGCGCAAACGGCTTTAAGCCTGCAGGTAAAAAAAAAGCTTGGCAACCTTTTGGTATAAAAGTAAACTGTGTATCCATGACCTTCATTAACCTCCAGTTTACAAAGGGGCAGGGTAAGTGGAATTGTGATTCACTCCACTCTTGCGCTTGATGGCTCTATTTTGCCTTGAGCGTGCTAGCACGTCTTTGTGTTGCCATTTATTTTCTAAAATTACTCGTATATTTATTTCCTTTTGTCATTTTTCCCGATTGGGATTCTCCCCACAGCTGGCATTGGGACTTTGTGAGCGAGTTCTGCCCTGTCGTGCTTGCTGAGAATGTGCTATGTTTTCAAGTGAACTGTTTTTCCTGAATGTATGCAAGCAAACTCTCTTGCGTATTCCAAGGTTCCCCCTCCCCAACCTCCGCCCTCTACACGATCCGTCAGCCCTCCTAGCTGTCGAATGGCAAGTATTGTGCATTTGTGGCTATGTTGCTCTTACACACGTTCATCTCTTTAGAATTAAAATGTGGAGTTTTTATTTTTTTTTGTTTTTGTCCAGCTTATTTTTGCAACACGGGCTTCCAAGTTTGACAATTGTCATCTGCGTTTTGTATTGGAGAGCTGCCGCTTTGGCACACTGCACATGCAATCTCGAGGTCTCTGGTTCGATTCGATATCACAGGGCGGCAGCTGGAACAATTGGCAAGGTTATTAAATCTCCCCGCCTCTGTCCGTCCAGCATTGTTATCGGGTACAGCACAGTTCGTCAGTTGGCAGCGCGTGTGTGGCGGAGTGAAGTGTGGGTACTTGCATCTCCGACAAGAAGTCTGGCCAGCATGGAAGAGAAGGCCAAACAGCCACTAGAGGGGCACTATATAAAGCTCCCTCGAGTGGAGGCCCCTTAGCCAATATTGGCATGAGCAGGCCATTGCAGAGGGCTGCCCATTTGCCATGATTCTTTGAGGGTCATGTACACAATACAGCCCCCCAATTGGCCTGGGATCGTGAAAGAGAAATTTTAAGGATGGAATGAATTGTCCCTCTCTCATTTTCACGATCTTATTTGGAGGAGTACTTGATTTAACTTGTGGCTTGCAAGCCAAGTTAATATTCCCCACTGTATTAAGAGATTTGGATTCCTCCTCCTAGCCGAATAAATTGTAACATTGCACATCATTAAAGCGCTTGTGTTTGGAAGGTCATTTGGACCGAAGAGTAAATAAACAAATGAACATTTTCTAAAGCTTTACTTACTAGTCGCTGGGCGGCTCAAAAGAGCCATTACCGGAGCAAGACTACCAAGCCTGCACCTCTGAGACATCTCGGCCTCCAGCCCCAGGGGCAGAAAAATGAGAAAATAAACATCAGTCCACAAGGGCCCTCGTATGCAACAAAAGAACTAATAAGCATTTATTTTCTCTCCTAATGTGGTCACACTCGGCACTCACGAGTCCAGGCAGCCACAAGTGCAGGGCAGAGCGTGGTCTGACGGTCCCTGTGGATGGGGATCTGCAAGAAGGAGTATTGTTCTTATTCGGCCAAAAGAAGTCGGAAGTGTCTTGATGAAGCAAGACGTATTGTCGTCAGATCTCGCGTCTACCCCCTTCATTAACTTAATGCAATTTTTTTTATTTAAAGCTTTCGTGACTGCAGGGATTCATTTTCTTGGTTCTTACGGTGAAGTCACCACGTAGAAGGGAAACAATAAAATAATAAAAAGATAAAACAATACAATTCTCACGACGTTTCGACTGCAACACAAGCAATCATCATCAGGTGTGAAAACACAGCAAGAAAATGTTCTTGTTGCAGTCGAAACGTCTGAGAATGTTATTGTTTTATATTTTTATTATTTTATTGTTTCCCCTCTACGTGACTTTACCGAAAGAACCAAGAATATCAATGCAAATTTGTTTCGTTTGGTTTTTCCAAAATTTCGTGGCCCCAGTGTGTTGTTGGTGGCGCAGTTAAGATAGGGGAATGCCACTTGCCACCTTTAAAATAAAAATAAACAAGTCCGCTGCCGTTGCCATAGGAAACCTGTGGGACTTGCTGGCACCACTCCTGCAAAGGAACAAAGGGGCAGCTTCACGGGTACAGAACTTCACTTTCGCTGCCAACTTGAGGTGGAGCGGTGGCGCGGAGGTTCCGGTGCTGTGCGATGAACCCAGTGACCCGAGTTTGATTCCGAGCCACGGCTCGCGTATCAGTTGGCGGGTGATAGCTGAACTGGTCCTGCGCCCCCCACCCCCATTCGCAAACCCGCAATGACCAGCGGGGTGAAGTATGGTCAAACAGCCCCCATGACTGACATGGTGTGGAGAGGCCTTCATCCAGAAGATTAACTATGGGCTAAACATGTATATACAATTTACTGTTGGTAATATAAAGGCTAAAGGGAGGAAATAAATAATCAAACGTAACAAAATCATAATCTAACAACGATCCATTGCTGGATGAAGTCCTCCAGAAGCCGCCATCAACGCAATCATCATGAAGACGCCGCTGCCCTGCACGATCAACGTCGCCGCATTTCATCAGGAGATAGTTTTGCCGTTCCACATGAGATTTTAACAAAATGCCCGGTATTTTTTTTGTTGTTGTTGTTGGGCTGTTCGCTTGGGGCTGGCAGAAGTGGGAAGTGGGGGGAGGTGGTGTGGGTGATGGTTGCAAGGTGGGACGGGGCTGTGGGTGTGACCTGCGTGAGGCTGCGGTGCAGTGGCGTTGGCTGGGTCTTGTGTGCTTGTGTGCACCAGGCCCCCTCAAGGCACCGGGGCCTAAGCTGGGTCAGGGGGTGCTGGGGCAGTGTGGAGGTGGGGGGGGGGTAGGGTTCGGTGTTGGGAGGACAGAGATAATCGCAACCATCTGTGGCCCGGCTCACGTAACACAAGCCACATTTCATCGGCTCTCTGGATTGACCACTCATCACAAGAGAGAGAAAATGAGAATTTTCATGCGTACTTGGGAGAGTCCACAACCACAGCAGCCCACCCCACCGACATCACCAACACAGAAACTGCTTTTATTTTACAGCTCACGTGAAGAAACAAAGAACTCCAAGCACATTTCATTGCCTCTCCGGATTTGCCACGTGAAGAGGGTGAACGAGAAATATATATATAAAATAAATATTGTTTTAAACTTGTGTCAATTTCTCGCTCTCAGAAAATACAATGTGGGCTTTGTGTTTACTGAAAAGAGATGTGACTTCAAAGTTAACAATTTGATGCTTGATATATGGCATGTGTAGTATGTCACGAAAATTAATTCCTAAAACTTAGTGTCCGAATGTGAAATCTGGACTGGTTAGTTCCACATTGTTCATGTGGGGAGCCCAATTAACTGTTGAATGGGGGCCCTCCCTCTCACACCGTGGGGGCTCTTTGACCATACTTCACCATCCTCGTGCCTCGCGTGATTCTTGCGGTAAACTTAACAATACATGTGTATTAACAATAACAATACATGTGTATTAACAATAACAATACATGTGTATTTCGCCTTGCTTGCCTTGCGCGGTGTTTTACGAGCATGGCCTTTTGCGGCTCCGTTTACCTGGGCTCGGTTTTTTTCGTGAAGCGTAGGACACCACACCATACACACCACACCATACACACCACTACACACCACACCATACACACCACACCACACCATACACACCACACCATACACACCACACCATACA